AATCTGCTGAGAATGAGGTATCAGCAACTCCCAGCACAAGTCGTTGGTTACTCAAGAGGACCACAACACGACTTGAGGCTGTGCCCGAGCATGGCCCATTGGCACCTTTGCTGGGTGCTGACCACGACGTGGCTCCTGGGCCGACTCTGATCGATGGAACCCCAGTGAGGGAGAAGTCAACTGTTATGATAAGACTACAGGTGGGTTGGCGGTAAGGAGAGCTGGAGGGTTACTCAATTGCGGAGCGAGCGAAGCATATACCGCATCAACAGGCAGTTTCGCGTTGTGCGCGCGTGCAGAATTGTCCTGGTTTAACTACGGAGCGTAGGAGGCTACTACATAGATCAAATGACTCCTTTATATTCCGCGAAAATAGAAGAACTCGATTTTGAACGATGACTCCGAGAAGAGCTCGAAGAGATATGCACGAAAACTATTTCGACGGGAAAGTGTCCTACCCGGGGATCGAACCGGGGACATGCGCACCGACCGACCTCCGCCCCTTCGTTACGAAGACCTAGTATTATCAATATCAATATTTAAGTACATTGTGTATCATTTTTCACCAGTTATACGTGATGTGTAAAACGCGATATTGGCGCTATGCAGTAGTCGTGAAATATATTTTTCACTAGTGGTTTTCATATCACTAGGGTGAAACTATATTATATAACCCTCTATTAGACTGAAATATAATGACCTTATAAAGTATTTCGATATATAATGGATCGGCATTTTCATGTTATTGGTAGTTGGTCATATTGGATACCCTATCGGCCCTACTAGAAGGAGGGCACGGTAGTGATACTGTGCGGTTGAATGCCGATACGATGGCTTTGTCATTGGACACTAATATGTTGACGAAACTGTTGGAGAGAGCTAATAATAAAGGGCAGGACTCCTTAGCGGCAAGGTGGCGACATAAGGAAGACCTGTTAGTGGTGGAGCTCTTGTTTAGGTATATGATTCTGATGGATTCAATTACGAGGCGAGTGACGATGGACAGCTCAGCCGCGAGTAAATGGACAGTGTATAACGATACCACTCCGATGTTGAAAAGGGTGAGAGAGCGACTACAGGTGAGAATTTTGGTATCCTCTTATTTGCACTATGCTGAGATGTTCAGGACCGAATCGGCTCAGTAGAGATAGTTAATTCTAGGGACGAGTTGGAGCATATATATTTTATAGTTCCGGAGTCTGTGATAAGAAGGTGAGCATTTGGTCAGTTGTTGCCAATAACACTCTTTGAGTACATCTGACTTTTCAGAGCACAGAGTGATGAGTTTGAAGCCCTGAAGGAGCGTGTGATGCACGACGTCCCGCGGGATAATCCTGTCCAGAAGTGCCAGGTGATTCTGTCTGTTAGTATTGAATTAAAACTGGTTCTTGTTTTCCTTAGTCGTTTCTGGATATGATAACAGATTCTCTCGTATGGGAGTTGACGGCTTGTGACTTTATGAAAAGGCGCAAGATAGTGTTGTTACAGCCGCAGTTATTGGACGCTACGTTTATGCTATCCATAGTACTTAATGCACTGTCTATTATAGTGAATACCACTGACAGGTGAGGGGGGACAGGGTGGAGGAGGTCTGTGAGCAGTGAACTCGTTCAGTATGTTACTAGGAGTCGTAACTGTTCGCCTTCTTCTATACGCGTGATGGAGTACCCTCTCACTGCAAAAATATAGTTATAGGGGCTTTGATTATTGTAATCTCTCTAACACATACGCTTAAGGCGTAAAATTTTACGTCTAGCAAGATTCCTGGTATGGTCGGTACAGTGCGTGTCAATTTGATATGTAAATGTGAGGGATGTGTGGTATTTGTCAAGAATAATGATTATGGATTTGTTATGCAATGGAGTTTTGTTTCGTTTTATGTGAAGTGGCGTGAAACTCGATGAAAAACGTGATATTCGCGGTGATATGCAGTAGTCGTGAAATGTGTTTCTCACTAGTATTTTTCATATCACTAGGGTCAAGAAACTCCAATTTAAACATCGCGATGAACATGTGTTGTGATCGAAGTTATCGTTTGGAAGTGTGAGAGTGAAAACTTGTTCATTATGTTCTCCCCCGCTGGATTGCCTCTAGTAGTGGTACATTTTATCATCGCAATTCCTGTAGTCATTGGAGTTTCACGTGTGATGTGAAAAACATATTTCACGACTATTGCAAGGCGCAGATATCGCGTTTCTCACGGAGTTTTACGCCACTTCACGTAAAACGGACGAAACTCCATTGTAGTAATCGTCTCGAAATAAACTAATAATAATATGTTTCTCCTTTGTTTGTGGTGGTGATGGTCTTGGTCAGGTTCCATGCAGTGCTGTTGTCCTTGCTGTGGCTTCTGGGCCTTATGCATGCCGTGCTATCCCTGGCCCGCTTTGTGTCATTCGCTGTCTCCAAACTCCCTATGAATCTACTAAGATTGGACCCAGAGTTGGCTTATAAACTGGATGAGGATCAGGTGGGAGATGTGTTAGCGGAGCGAAGCGATTCATGTTTGTGGCATTTTCAGGATCTGTCTCTGTTAATGAAAGCGGGAGTTCCGCTGCTATCGTTCATACCCTGGTATCATTTAGCGTATTTTTTTATGTCACTTAGTGCTCTACTATATGCTGGGGAGCACGTGTACTTTTTCCATTTGTTTGATATTATTCCATTGTCATCGCTATTGAAGGTAACCCTGCGTTCGATTCAGGGCCAGGGCCTTTCTCTGGCATCTACTGGAATGCTCTGGTTGTTGATTATGTATTCATTTGCTATGATTGCGCACCAACATTTCCGTGGTGACTTCCCAGAGGGGGAGTGCTCTGATGTGACCTCGTGCATAGCATTTGTGATGAACTTTGGTCTGAGAGCAGGAGGCGGGCTGGGCGACTACCTCAGGGGAGGCTCAGAGGGCCACAGTGAGGGGTGGGGGCGTATGGTATTCGATACTATATATTTCATCCTAAGCACAGTAGTGATGGCTAACATCGTCAGTGGTATTATCATTGATGCCTTTGGGGAGTCCAGAGACAAACGAAATGAAGTTCTATTAGATCAGAAGAACTATTGCTTCGTGTGTTCGTTGGCCGCAGCTAAGTTCGACAGGGCCGATCGCCAAACCGGGTTTAGTTATCATTATAAGAGGATGCACAATATGTGGGCGTATGTTTACTTCGTGGCTTATCTAAAGTTGAAGGACCCTACTGAGCTGACTGGCACGGAGGACTATGTGAAGGCGGCTGTTGTACGGCATTCCATCGACTGGTTGCCAGTGTTGAGAGCGTCTATGGGCACTGGGGAGAGGAAGGAGCTGAGGGGAGACACTGCGGAAGGGGCGGCTTTCGAGAGCTCTCAGGCTCATAAGGGCCGGTGATAGTTTCACATTGGTGAGTTATTCAATGTAGCGAATGAGATCAGCTAGTGGGAATTTTGGTATTCAGAATGCCTGTTGATTTTTCTATACTTGGAGTTTATGGTGTTGATGTTTTACGTGGTGGTGTTGTGGGTTGTTGGTCAGCATTTTCCGAAAATGTCATCAAAAACGACTTCCTCAGCGTACGGCAATCGGATAGTAAAAGGCGTGCTGAAATTAAAGGGAGCTGATGGTGTTGCTAAACCGGTCAGGAAAAAGTTCCTAGGGGGGGTTTATGATGAAGTTTCCGGCCAGGTGATATCTAAGAAGAAGCGAAAGCATCACAGACATAAGGAGAAGGAGGAGGAGGAACGTATATTACGACACTCGGATGAGGAGGGCTCGACTTCACAGTAAGAATAATGGCGATGAGCTTGGGTGTTCGCTGTCGTTTGCGTTTGACGATATACGTGAAGTGGCGTAAACCTCTGTGGAAAAGGCGATACTGTTGTGAAATAGATTTTTCACTAGTGTTTTTCATATCGCGGGTGAAACTCCGGTACATATATGCAGTAGTATTATATTCACTGGGTAAGGATATGTAACAATAGCTGTTGGAGCTTGCAAGGACGTGGTGCAGTATAGGGGTAGCCTTCACTAGGGAAATATGCACATGGTCAACTACATGTGTTGGTGATAAGAATTTGATGAAATTTTGGAAATCCTTGATGGCTTGTGTACACTTCTACTCGAATTCGTGTGTCAATTTGTATAATTAGTGAGCAAGCTCCTGAGCTCGGCTGAGGAAAGCGAACATATATTCCTATTCTAACAGTGGAATTTGCAGTAGTAGTGTCGGAAATCCTTATATGGTCTGTACGTGGATGTAACAAAATCCAACGTCAATGAAATTAGCAACCGAGATTATGAGTGATGGAGAACTCAGTAGAGTACTAGCTGTCGTTGTAGGCGAGAGGAGCCCCGGAGCACTAAGACACCGGCTGAGCTGGCATTTCAACGGCTACAGGAGGAACGGAAGGGTAGGGCTGGCGCTCGGCACATTCGATGGGTTCATGGTATGATTATTATTATTGTTGTGATTAGCTGAGAGGATAGCTAAGCAGATCGAGAAGACTCATCGAGAGAAGATGGACGAGCTTCACGACAAGTTGGATAATATGAGTGAGCACTTCGAGGTACCCAAGATTGCTGGTACGCATTGATCTACGCCACCACAAGGTCCTGGTATTGAGTTTATGTATTCAGTCAATTAGTAGTCGCATATTTTCCATTGCTGTTTAAATGGTCGTTGGAGGGGGTAAAGGCGCTGGCTCGTTTAGACAGAAACTGCCGACTGCTGGGGGTAAAGGGCAGGGGATGAGGCAAACGGGTTGGAGTAAGGGAGTTGATGGTGCTCCTAATAAGAAGTGGGTTATGGACCTGCTTTGTATCTTGCTCGCTGGAACCTTGGATATTTTGATAGGAGAAGGCTTGGAGATCAAGATGTGACGTTGGAGGAAAAGTTTGGTATTGAAATATTACAAGAAAATGAAGAACGAATTGGTTATTTGTTTAATATGAAGGAAAGCGTCGCTCCGCCCAAGGTTGTGAATGTTGATAATGATGCTGATCAAACGGAGCTGGTTGACGTCAGCGCCTTGTTACTCTATTTCGTGAGTCAAGATGCACTCGTTGAATTGTGGTGAATGAGTTGTTCAGATCCAGAAGGACGGCACTACCTTTAGGGCTACGTACCGCTACAGGCCATATTTTCTGGTGGATATCAACCCGCAGATTTCCAATTATGAGTATATGATGGAGGTGAGAAGGGAGGCTTGTTTTGGGCATGAGTCGTATCTTACGCGGTCAACGTTGGGATTCATGTTTGCTTTCGTCAGCTGAGTCACGAGTTTATATACGAGTAGAAGTGTTGAGAAATGAACACAAAAAATTTCCGGAAATTTTCGTAGAATTTTAGTAGTGTCACCGACACATGTTGTTGACCATGTGCATATTCCCCTCCTACTGTGTGCTGGTGAACCTGAGAATCTCGTCATCAGGTGTTGGGAAGAAGGTTCGAGCACCAAAAAGTTAACGTTGGTACGGTAATCCGTCACAACCTGGGGGCAGTGGACCATCTGGCGCCCAATAAGATGTACAAATTAATCAAATGTGAATTCCCCAATACTGAGCTTATGAATGATGCGAGGAGAACGTTGGAGCGCATACTGAAAGCTAACAGGCTGAGGGTCAGCCATCTTGACCATCTGGATGATAATGACCCTTTCAAGGAAGGGGTGGGGTGGTCTAGCGGAGCGAAGCGATTTTTGTATGTCATTTTTGATCAGGATGGCATAGGGAGTGGCGCTGATCCGATGGATAGTATCATTGGGTTGTTCGAATATGATCTGATCCATGTGGGCCGACCTCAGTCTACTGCCTCTGGAATCGTTCTGTTGGTCAGACTGTGCGTACGAGCATTGATAGCAACATTCGGTGTGGGAAGTGGTATAAGGTGGTGAATAGCATGCAGGGTATGGTAGCCCTTACGGTGCAAGAGGACCTCCTTATGAAGCCACCACTGAGAATATTGGCATGGGATATTGAGACCTCAAAGGCACCGTTGAAGTTCCCTGATGCACAGCAAGTAATGTAAGCAGGCGTCGGGGTAGGGTAGGACTTGTTGGAGTTCAGGATGAGATCATGATGATCTCTGTGATGGTGGACGGGGATGGATACCTTATAGTGAATCGTGAGGAGGTCCATGGCTATATCGAGGACTTTGAATACTCGCCAAGACCAGGTGAGGTTGCTATCATCAGAGTAGGTGGTCAATTTTGAATTGTGTATATGGTCAGAGTTCGAAGGCTTCTTTGAGTGTATCAACTGTGATAATGAGAAAGAGCTCTTGGTGGCCTTCTTCGACCTTCTACTGCGGACCAGACCTCATATCACGGTCACGTTCAATGGAGACTTTTTCGATCTACCCTATGTTCACGATCGAGCTCAGATTCACTCTCTGAATCTCCATCATCAGGTGGGGCTTAGTTGGTTTTTATGGTGTTTCATTTATATCTCCGTAGTGTGGGATTTCGAGGCCACGTAATGCTATCAAGGGCAGCGATAGTGACTTTTGGAGCGGCAAGTGAGTTACGATTGTGGTGGTATAACACTGAGTGTGGGAAATGTGAAAATTGTGGAAAATTTTTGGAAAATTTCGTTGGCTCCTGTATGATCCTATCTGGATTCGTATGTATATAAGTGTATAATTAGTGAGGAAACTCAGCTGAGGAAAGCGAGTATATATTCCTACTCCAACACAGATTGAGATTGCCTGTAGGTTTATGGTGCACATGGACTGTTACTGTTGGGTGAAGAGGGACTCGTATCTGCCCCAAGGCTCTCAAGGTCTGAAGGCAGTTACTAGAGCCAAGCTGAAGTACGATCCTGTGGAGTTGGATCCGGTAAGGGTTGGTTGGATGATTTGAGAAAGGAGTGGTATGGTCAGGAGCTCATGGTCCCGTATGCGAGAGAGCAACCACAGGAGTTGGCTAGCTACTCGGTGTCGGATGCCTTGGCTACCTACCATCTGTATTGCAAGTAAGACTGAGAAGTGGAGGGCCTGGGAATCGAACCGGGGACCTCTTTGAACAGGTACATCCACGACTTCGTCTTTGCCCTGGCCTCGATCATCCCGATGAATCCCGACGATGTACTCCGGCGTGGATCTGGGACACTGTGTGAGGCGTTGCTCATGGCACAAGCCACAGAAGCTGGCGTGCTCTATCCCAACAAGCATCAGCAACCAGGCCTGGCGTAGGGGGGAATGGGGGGCCTCAGCTGAGCTCAGGAGTTCACACATGGATTTTGGTAGAAACGTAGAGGAATTTCCTCGGAATTTTCACATTGTAGTTGGTCATGTGCATATTGTCGTGATTGTCCTGTAACCGTTATTATCGTCATGCAGGTATCACGACGGTAGACTCATCGAGAACTCAACGTACGAGGGTGGGAGAGTGGAGTGCCTTAGGACTGGCATATTCCGCAGTGACATTGAGGAGAAGTATGCAGCAGGCTCCTCCTTGATGCAGTGAGGATGTTCATGTTAGGTTCCGTCTGGACACCAATGCTATTGACGAGCTGATAGAGTCGGCCGATAAGACTTGTCGCTTCTTTGTGGAAACTGAAGAGAAAACAACGGTTGATGAGATAGATAATTTCGAGGAGGTGGTGGCTAGGCGTGGAGTCAGGCCTTATGTTAGGACTTTGCTCAGGTTGTCACAGAGCTCACTGAGGCACTCAAGGAACTACGCCGTAATCCTAATAGATCTGAAGAGCCTCTTATCTATCACTTGGATGTGGCGGCAATGTGAATAGGAATGTTCGTCGTGTTGGTTGGAGTGATTTTTTGGTCAGGTACCCTAATATTATCCTGAGTAACCGCTTGCAGCCCTCGGCCATAGTCACCCCTGATTACTGTAATCAGTGTAGTTATTCGGACCCGCAGTTGAAGAGTGACTGTAAGAGGCATTTGGAGTGGAAGTGGCGAGGTAAGGGTCGGTGGTCGGTGCTGGGGTGTGACGGTGGATCAGGCGATCTGTATATGGCAACGAGAGCAGACGTGCAGCATCAACAGAGTGAGCTCTCGGGTCCGAGGCATAAGTAGGGCAGATTTGGAGGAAGTGTGGTATGGATGATGGCAGTGGTACTCTGTAGGTATACCACTACCGTTACGGAGGCGGACGGTACGAGCACGGTCAGGAAGGTCGGGTGGGATGAGCTCACGGAGCGGGAGCGAATGGAGATCCTTATTAAGAACGTTCGCAACTTTTCGTTGAAGGCATATAAGCGTGTGAAGAGCTCGGTGTTCGAAGTCAAGACCGATACTGTGTGCCAAAGAGAGAATCCTTTTTACATCGATACGGTCAGAGCCTTCCGAGACCGCAGGTGCGCAGGGCTCGAGCTTGGTGGGGTGAGGTTGTTGTTATTGTTGGTCATCAGGTATACATACAAGGGGTTGGTGAAGACCTGGGGGAAGAAGCTCGGGGAGGCTGAGGCGAGCAAAGACGCGTTAAAGATGTCCGAGGCGAAGGACATGATTTTGTTATTCGACTCGCTGCAATTGGCACATAAGTGTATCCTCAATAGCTTCTACGGTTACGTGATGAGGAAGGGCGCAAGATGGCACTCCATGACTATGGCGGGTATAGTCACTTACACGGGCTCGGGGTTGATAAGGGAGGTGGGTGTGCTTTGATGGGGAGGATGAACAATGGAAGGGTTGTCAGGCTAGGGCCTTCGTGGACCGCCTTGGGCTGCCGCTGGAATTGGATACTGATGGTATATGGTGCATGCTGCCTAAGAGCTTCCCTGAGAACTTCCAATTCAAGCTGAAGTCGGGGAGGGTGTTGACGATGCCGTACCCGTGCTCAGTCCTCAACGTCAGAGTGCACGAGAAGTAGGTCTATTGGTATGACTGTCATTGCTATGGATGTGTGAAGGTACACAAATCATCAGTATCAGGATCTGCAGCCTGATGGCACATATGCTAAATCGTCGCAGAATTCCATTTTCTTCGAGATTGATGGACCCTACAAGTGCATGGTGGGTGGGGGAGATCTTCGGGCGAGCGCTATTGTCGTATAGTTGCTGCCTGCCTCGACTGAAGAGGATCGCCTGTTGAAGAAGCGATACGCTGTGTTTAATGAGGATGGAAGTTTGGCAGAGTTGAAGGGTTTTGAGATCAAACGTCGGGGAGAGTTGAAGTTGATACAGGTAAGTGTGGAAGAAGAGTGAATTTGGCGAAGTCATTCGAGCACAGGTGTTCCAAGAAGAGTTATTCCCGAAGTGTTTGGAGGGTGGAAGCATCGAAGAGGCATACGCTGCGGTGGGGCAGGTGGCAAACAGGTGGTTGGAGGTAACGAGATGTGTAGTTCGATGGTCCAGTAGTGGAGTACTGAAGATAGCGTAGAAGTTTTCATTAGACAGTTTGGCCGAGTGGTCTAAGGCGGTGGCTTTAGGCGCCATTCCGAAAGGGCGCGGGTTCGAACCCCGCAGCTGTCATATATGTTGTGCTCGTTCTTGTCAGGTTTTGGACACCAAAGGATCGTCATTAACGGATGAAGAAGTAATACATCTCATCTCGGAGAAGAAGACGATGTCAAAAAGCGTCGAGGATTCGGGAGCTCTGAAGAGCACTAGCATAACTACTGCTACTCGCATGGCCGAGTTCCTTGGTAGAATCATGCAGGCATGATGAACCATTAGCCATCACTAGGGGTTGTAGGTCCGTCGATCCTCCGCGAGAAGGGAATATCCTGCCATCTGATCATCGCTCGGAAGCCCTTAGGTGCTACACCAACTGAGAGGGCTATACCGGTAAATATCTTTAGTGCTGAGGAGCATGTCAAGACCAAGTGGGTCGAGTGGAGACCCGCCCTCCCCTCACCGTGGTGACAGGTACCTCCGGAAGTGGATGGGTGATCCATCGATACGCAACTTCGACATACGGGATATTATAGACTGGCAATATTATCGGACGAGGCTTGGAGCGGCTATACAGAAAATCATTGGCATACCAGGTGAGCTCAGGGGTGAGGTGTGTTACTGGCAAGCTCCTCGGGGTATCGGTTGCAGCTATGAACCAACACGTGAAGAACCCTTGTCCTTCTGTGGAACTACCGCAGTGGGCGAAGAAGCGGGTGAGGGAGAGGGAGGATACTTTTAAGTGAGCTACTAGTACTGCTGTATAGAGTGCGACGACACATGATGCTGCTGCTGTACTCAGACAGAAGAAGTTGACTGACATGTTTGCGAGAATGTCATCTAAGCCCTCGACTACCAACAAGAAGAAAGTTACAGTGGGTGTGCCCAAGGGGGGGCCCTCTGCATCGTCATCTTCCTCGTCGAGCTCGGCCGTCCCCTCTCCACCTCGTGAGCAGGAACCGGTCTCTACAGTGGATATTGAGGAGGTACAGGGCTCGACTCGCACTGGAAGGAATGAAGCGCCCATCTCGTCAGGTTGTTCCAGCCTCGTCCGATGGAGCCCCAGCAGAATCATCGTCGTCATCTATGGTAGTTGATGTTGAAGATGTGTCAGTGGAGGGCATTGCTATCCTCAAGCCAGCCCAAAAGCAGCCGGTGAACTGGAAGAAGGTGCGCTCTTTATAGTCGCCTCAATGATCTCCTGTGATCCTCAGAAGCAAGCCCAGAATCTTAGAGAACATCATCAGGGCACGAAGCAGCACAAAGAGGCTCTTCGGGAGAGAATAGAGAGGGCACAGCAGAGGTACATGGGAGGGGTTCGCCTCGCCGAACTACCGACGCCTCAGGTTGGGTGCTATGGCTGGCCAAACTACGTTGCCACATAATGCAGTTGATACGGCTGGAGGTTCAAGTAGGGCTTAGGGTCAGTAGGGTAGAGTTAGCCCTTAT